GAGGGTAAACTGTGTGTGCTGTGGCTTGGCCATGGGCCGAGGCCATCCCCAGGATCCTCAGGCACCACGAGCCCGTTCTTTTCTTCCCAGGGCTGCTTCTGGAAGTTTTGCTTAGAGTCAAAAGAACAGAAGGAGTCTCCCAAGGGCCTAGGAGGAGCCAGTGGGTCCCTCTAGATCAATGTGGTAGGGAGGGCTGTGGGCCAGGCTGCTTGGCTGTCTGTTCCCTCACCTTCTCACTCACTTATCTGTTGGCTGACTGACCAGGGCCACCAGACAGCCTCCCAGCAAGGCCAGTCTTCTCACTTACAGGGCAAAGTCTTCAGATGGCTTTTTTTTTTTTTTTAAATTTGCGATGGAGTCTTGCTTTGTTGCCCAGGCTAGAGTGCAGTGGCGCTATCTCACTGGACCCTCTACCTCCTAGGTTCAAGCAATTCTCCTGCCTCAGTCTCCTGAGTAGTTGGGATTACAGGCACCCACCACCACGCCTGGCTAATTTTTGTATTTTTAGTAGAGACAGGGTTTCACCATGTTGGCCAGGCTGGTCTCGAACTCCTGACCTCATGTGATCCTCCTGCCTCGGCCTCCCAAAATGTTGGGATTACAGGCGTGAGCCACTGCGCCCAGCCTAGATAGCCTTTAAAGAAATGTAAGTCACATCTACAAGGAGCTTGACTGAGTCCCAGTTACTCCTCCCCTCAACTCCAAGTTCTCTGGCCTCCTCAGCAGTCAGCAGAGTGTCTGTGTGTAACAAAGCTCAATGTACAAGGATGCCGAGGTTTGAATATGTCAATCAACTGCACCTTTTTTCCCACCAAAGAGCAAAGCAGAAAAACACCTTCCTTATAAGAAAAATCACTGTCAGAAGAGGCTGTACCTGAACCACATGGGTGCATTTCCACAGACCACTGCTTTTACTATACTGACAGTTTTTATTTTTCCATTTATTATTTTTGTAAGAGACAAGGCCTCGCTATGCTGCCCAGGCTGGTCTCAAACTCCTGAACTCAAGCCATTCTCCCTCCTTGGCCTCCCAAAGTGCTGGGATAACAGGCATGGGCCACGGTGCCCGGTCCTGACACTTTTTTTGTGAGGTCATCAGGCTACATGTATGAAGACTGAGAAGAATCTTACCGATTCTCTCAAGAGATACTATTTAGAATGCCACTCACTGTACCATAGCATTCTCTTTGGAGAACCCATGGGAGAATTCTCTGGCCTCAATAACAGAAACAGCTGTCTCCACTCAGCAGACATTTTCACTTTGTAAGTACTGGCAAAACTGATAAAAAAAAATTTCCCTCTGCTTTGGCTGCTACAAAGCTCAGGGCCAAATACACAATCTCACTTGAGTAAAATGCATAGGACAGAGAGGTACTTGCCTTTTTGTGCTAATCTCTCCCTTGACTTTCTCCTATTTTTTTTTTTTCACTCCATGTGCCTCAATTGCTTTTATTAAAAATCCTGTTATATCAAAGTATCTTGGAACAATTCCTCGAATAGTTTTTTTTTGAACAAGATAAATTGTTAAAACAAAAAATAGAAAAAAGCTCCTAAAGCCAAGATTTTATTCCAATACCATAAGAAAATAAAACCCATTTACCCAATACTTCTACAAAGCAAATGTAGATACTCGGGTTAGTACTTCACTATCAAAGTGTGATCCAGCACCAACAGCATCTGCATTACCTCAGAGCTTGTAGGGAATGCAGATTCTCAGGTCCTACCCCAGAACCTTGGAATGAGAACCTGCAGTTTAGCAGTATCTCCAGATAACTTGGTAAGCACAATGTTTCAGAAGCACTGGGTTGGTAAGTAAGGCTGTTTCAGCACCCTGAGAAGGAACAACTAAAATAGCTTTAAAACCATTCCTTGGGTGCCTATATGCCAGTTACACACAAGAAAATTTACGGTCCTTGTCTTCAAGGCCTCTGCAAAAGGACATTAGAAAAGGCTTACACCTTGTGGCAGGTTTTTAATGGCTAATTATAGAATACCACAGCTGGAAGGGAGTCCTCAGAAATAATAATATTCCCTAGAAAGAATTTGAGATTCACGGTGGCTATGTTAAAAACAGAATCACAGACCTGAAATTCTCCTGTGCCAGTTACAGGTGAGAAGGGGAAAGGTATTTGTTCTGGAAACTGGAAATAATTTAAGATAAACTGGTATGCCAAGGGAGCTTACAGCTACAAGGAAATGTGCAACTTAACCTGTTTCCTGTAACCAGAAAGTGGTACAGGAAAACCTGGAAGTGACGCAGTGTCCCCCAAGGGTTGTATCTGACACCTCTAGCTGGCAGACAGGTCTAAAGCCAACAGGAACACTTCTTGGGCTTTTCACAATGTTTGTGAACAACATTAAAGACAGTAGTTTCTTCATGAGAACAAATTTAAGTTATAAGGAGAGTCCACCTCCATAAGCTCTGCTTCTATCTGGATGGATCAACCATGTAAAGATTTTCTGTCAGCCATACGAGGCCCCAATCTATTTGGCTCCTCTGATTTTACATGACCATTTCAGGTACCAGACCCCATTAAGAGTGTATCAGGTACAACTGTAACTCTTGGCCAAACTGCTATTTGGCACCGAATCAATCTTTAGCTGGTGGTGAGACTCCAGACACATAAACAGATAATATTCTATGGAATACTTTCACTGTGGAAAGAGAATCAGCAAAGGCTAAAGAGATGTTTAAAAATCAGCCATCAGGCTGGGCACGGTGGCTCATGCCTGTAATTCCAGCACTTTGGGCGGCTGAGGTGGGCGGATCACCTGAGGTCAGGGGTTCAAGACCAGGCTGGTCAACATGGCGAAACCCTGTCTCTACAAAAAATACAAAAATTAGCGGGACATGGTGGTGGGCGCCTGTAACCCCAGCTACTTGGCAGGCTGAGGCAGGAGAACTGCTCGAACTCGGGAGGAGGAGGTTGCAGTGAGCTGAGATTGTGCCACCGCACTCTAGCCTGGCCAAGAAGAGTGAAACTCCCTCTCAAAAAAAGAAAAAAATCCGCCATCAGATAACGGGCCAGGCACCGTGGCTCATGCCTGTAATCGCTTGAGCCCAGGAGTTCAAACCAGCCTGGGCAATATAGAGAGACATCATCTCTACAACAAAATAGAAAATTAGCTGGGCGTGGTGATGTGCACCTGTGATCCCAGCTACTTGGGAGGCTGAGGTGAGAGGGACTCTTGACTCCAGGAGGCTGAGGTCACAGTGAGTTGAGATCATGACACTGCACTCCAGCCTGGGTGATGGAGTCAGACCCTGTCTCAAAAAAAGGGATCGGATAAGGACCAAAAAGCAGAGAGATCCTGAAAGGTCAAGTACTATACAGATATTTCATATTAGTGAGTGTATTCAAGTATCCATTTATTTTTCTCCTAACAACTGCTAACAGCTAACAGCTACAGATCATTTTCTTTGTGCCAGGAACTATGGTAGGCACTTTACATTAATATCTTATTTAATCCTCATAACCCATCACATAGGTACTATTACTATTCCCATTTTCAGGATGAGGAAACCAAGACACAGAGAAGTTAAATAACTTAATGACATGCCTGTAATCCCAGCACTCTGGGAGGCAGAGGCAGGAGGATTGCTTGAGCCTAGGAGTTTAAGACCAGCCTGGACAACATGGCAAGAACCCCATCACCATTAAAACAAACAAACAAACAAACAAACTTAATCAGAGTTAGTAACATGGCAGAGCTAAAGTCTGTTTGACTTAGAAAGCCTGAGCTTAGCTGCCTTCCTAACCTGTAAGAATAACTGGCTCAAGAAGTTAAATAAATATTTCTGTTGTGTCACCTTTGGGCTACCATGCTGACTTTGTTTCCTTTTGGCTTCCTTCCATCATTGAGTGCCTTTTATGTTCCAAGCATTGTGCTAGGGGCTGGGGAAACCGCAATACAGTGTGATGTGTAAAAATAGAGGTCGGAGAAGGTAGCCCTGAACAGGGAGGAGTTATCAGTCGCAGGGTGAGTAAGTGCCTTCGAAAGCTTTGCAAAAGAGCTTAAACTGAATTCCTTGTTTTTTTTTGTTGTTGTTGTTTTGTTTTCTAAGTGGGCCAGAATTGACTCAACAGAGGGTGGGAAAGGGGAATGGAGTGAACAAAGTAAAAAGTGGTGACTTCTAGATCTTTCAACTAAACCCAAAGCAAACTGACTCAACACCCTTTGTCACACACTTTAACACAACATTCTCCATACCCTAGATCTGAGGACTGTTAGATTATTTACAAATGCTACCTCCCTTCGTGGTCCTGATGAATTCCCAGGGAGGTCCAATCTGCCCTGGCAGGTTTCCGCTCATTTTTGTTACAAACAATACACTAAACCCAAACTACTAATCATCAAGGGCTGGAACAGGTTTTGGACATTCGTCCCCAGGCTGCTGAGAACTGTTCTAGTGATGACAGTTAGAAAGGGTAGCTCTCCGAGGCAAAAAAAAAAAAGAGACATCTAGATTTTTTCGCTCCGCATCTGGGCGCTGCAGCATCCACGGTGATAAGAAGACATCACTGGTCTCCATCTTTCGAGAGGGAAAGGCCCGCGCTGCACTAGTCCCGACTGGGTAGCTGGGTAAACAGCCCACGCTCGGCAGAGGCCTGAGGGAAAGTGACCTCCCCAGGGGCCCAGGACCACCAGCAGCGCAGCTGCTCCGCCACCAGATGCGCGGACTCGCGCGCTCCCTCGCCGCGCCCGGGCACTCCCAAGCCCAGCCGCCCGCCTCGGCCCCGACCCCTCGGCCGCCACAACACACGCTGTTCCGCCCGCAAAATGGAGGCGAAGGCACGAGGCGCCCCCGCCCCCAGGGAGCCTTTGTGCCCTTGCCGGCGGGGACGCGAGGCCAGACGGCCCGCACCGCAAGGGCCCCGCAGGCACCGAAGGGAAGGGGCGGAGGGGGCCGGGCTGCGCGCGCGGATCTAGCCCCGGCCACCGCCCCCAGTGCCGCGGGCACCCCGGACACCAGCACCAGAGCGCGGGACGCTGCCTACCTACCGCACCGCGAACGCTTCGCACATCCGGAACGGCCTCAGCAGCCCCATGCGGTGGCCCCAAGCTGGGGGCCCTGACTGCAACCGCGGCCCTCCAACCGCAGCCCGAAACGCGAAGGGCGGGACCGAGCGCCAACCACGCCCTTCGGACGCGGTGAGCACACCCTTCTTCCCGCCCCTTCTCCCTCCGCGGGAGAGCGTTCGGCAGTGTTGCGCAGCCAATCTCAACCCTCAGCCGGGGCTCGACCAATACGTGGACGCTTCTGCAAGATGAGCCCGCCCCCTACTTCGTCTTGGCCTATGGGAAGCCGGGACTTCTTCAGCTGCTGTCGTCCCTCGTTTTTGGAGCTCCGACTTCAGCTTCGCCTGAGAGCCGGGTTGTGCAAGGGCGGGTCATTCTGGGGCGCTTAAGGGTGGGTGCCGGGGGACGCGCTTTCCCGCATGAAGGTCGCGCCAGGAGTCATGCGTACATTCGTTCATTTTGCTCTGGACGTACTGATGTTTCTACGCGCCGCGCCACGAGGTGGTCCCACCTCCTTTCGCTGTGTTTCTGTTTACATTCGCATCTGCGAGACCCGGCGGCGCGACCGAGGCCCGAACAGGTGCTGTGGGGCGAGGCGGGGAGCCAGTGCCGAGGGGAGCTCCCCAGGCCGGGTGATTGAGGCCAGCTTCGGGGGGAGGTGGAGCTCTGGCTCGCAGAGAATGGGAAGGGTGTGGAAAATGAACTGGGAGCTGCTTAGCGACTCCGAGCTGCCTGCTCTGATGGGAAATTGGTGATGGAGTCAGAGGGAAGTGGGAGGCAGCTTGTGGGAGGCCAGGGTGCACACTCTGTCCCCCGCCAGCATGAGACCTAGGAGCTTTCATATATCTCTAACTATCTATCTGTCTATTTTGCAGAGATGGGATCTTGCTGTGTTGCCAAGGCTGGGCTTGAACTGGACTCAGACTGTCCTCCCGCCTCGGCCTCCCAGAGTGCTGGAATTACAGGCGTGAGCCACTCCATCCCGTCCCCTAGGAGCTTAATGACACTGCCCTTTAGCTTTTACTGCTCAGCAGAATCCGGAGGCATAGAGGAACTACCACCTAGCTGGCGTGGGGAAGGGGTCCTCCCTTCTGATGGTTTTCTCTCAGCAGCACTTTCAACAATCTGGCTTCTGCTGAATATCTCCTCAATTCATAAAACAGGTGTCTGTAAATGTCAACCCCAGCTGGGTGCAGGGTACAAATTTTTTCCTGCAGAGCTCTTGAGTCCCAGGTAGTTTAGGAGACAAGGACTTGTTTGGTTTTCCCAGACCTGTCAGGACAGCTCAGAGGTTTTGTCTAACCCACGGGTCACAAACTTTTGACAACAGCAGCATCTAGCCCACAGATGGTTTTATTTGGGCATCACATAGGTTTTCTTTGTTTGTTTGCTTTTGTTTTTTTAATAAGAATTTGAATCCCACCAACACCACTGGTCCATTAAGTAACCGCCAGCCTTCACACATTTGCTGTCTACCCGAAGGGATTGGTGTTTGTGACCCTAGATCTTTTCTATACACAGAAGACCTCCAGTGGAGTCACCTAATCCCACAGCCAAGTCACCCCTGCTGAACAGAGAACTGTACAAAGTCCAAACAGGCATACATATCCTTATGGTTTCCCAATCTATAAGAGAGGGGATAGGATGAAGGATTCCCAAGGTTCCTTTTGGTTCTGACGTTCTGTAATTTTGTGTTGTGAGCAGCTTTTGTTTTTGCCTGATGGGAAAACTTTCCTTTGGGGAATTGTCTGCAGTCCCCTGGATCAGATGGTTCTTTAGCACCACACTTCTCTGGCCTCTCGAGGCAGGATGGGTGTGGAGAAGGGGAGGTGTGGAGCCCAGGCTTGGCCAACTATAGTCTCCCTCCTCTTGTTCTCAGATTTCCCCAGGGATGTGCACATGACCAAACCTAAGATGATCTGAGCCCTTGTCAGGGATTTTAGAGAATGAGGGTGGGAGAAAGAGGCTCTTTCCTCTGGTGTTTCTGAGCATGGGAAAAATAGGCCTGGAGCTGTCTGTAGTTATACTCCTTGCACCAGCAATGCTGGAGAACCAGGTCTGGAAATGTTAGGAACCAGCTAAGCCATCCTGCTTTGGTACTCTGATTAGGGTGCATGCCAGCTCCTTTGGTGGTCACATGAATTATTTTTCAACTCTTCTCGCTCAAGATTCAAGTTTTGGGAAGGACCATTTACTAGGCCTAGTCTAGGTTATGTGCCTGCGTTCCAATTGCTAATAGGCAAATAGAGTTCTGGTTTCTCCTGTGGCTTCTAGTCAGGGAGGCCTAGCCTCATAGCAAGACTCAGTGTGTGGGGGCCTCCCCTCAAATGAGAAGAATGAGACGCTGGGTTGCCAAAAGTTGCTCCACTATAGGCCGTCTCTTAGGCTGCCCAGCGTTCACAGAAGTGCTTTCAAAGGTAAATGAAAATGCTGCCATCCAACAAAATGCGAGGATCTCTCCTACAACAGAATTTACTTATCCCTTCCCCAAAGCAGGGCATCTCAAAATCTCCTCGTTTATTGTATTTGGCCCAAGTCCAACTTCTGTTAAGTGATGTTCCATTCTTCCTTTCAGTTTCATCATCATCCCATCCCATCGTTGCAATGTGTAAACTAAATTGTAAAGTTAAGCATCACTGATAGACTTTAGATACAATTGTGAAGAGAAAGGAAATGAAAGGAAAGGACAATAGCTAAAAACTCTTCATTTATATATAATACAGCAAGAAGGGAAATACTGTTAGAGGTTATAATCCTCATTTTTGTAACTGGTAATGAAGCTTTATTGTCATTTACAATTTTCCTTCTCTGCTACCTATTCCAGGTCCCTCTTTCCTTCACGCAACCCCTCAGCTGGCCAGGATTCTTTGCCTGGTTGGGTTAAGCAAGTTTTTGTTCTTGAGGAGGTTGTCTGTAGGTAGGTTGTAGTTTGTCTGTAGGTGGTGCAGTATGTTGCCATCAACTTGTGCCCTGGCATGAGAGTGATGAGGTGCCTCAGGAGACCTCCTGGGTTCTAGTATTGCTCCTCTTGCCTCCGTGGCGTGACAGCAACCCCACTTCCTCCTAAGCGTCGAGATCAGTCACCAAACAGCATGTGACCTGTGGCATGAGGAGACCACATCAATTTCAGTTTCCAGTTAATAGGAACCATTATTGTAGTTCTGGTGAAAGCATTGTACTAAAATATCTAAACCAGCTGGTTTGAGGAAAAGCAAAGATAAATCATCAGGTATGATTTGAGAAGTCCCACCCCCGTTGTTTCCAGCAGTGATATTCTGCTGTGGAAGAAACTATTGGTCATTGGTTCAGAGTTTTGTCTCCCAGCAGGCAGTTGAACTAATTTTTTTTTTTTTTTTTTTTAATTAAAAATTTTGGCCAGCTGGTGGCTTCTTGCTTGGTGGCCGGGAGCCAGATTCCATGCTAGGCAGGAGCAAGGTGCAGCCGGTGGGAATGCAGGAGAGGCCAGTCGCTTGTTTTGGGACTTTCGAAACAGCAGCCTGGGAACCAACAGAGAAGATTCCGTCTTCCAGAGGTTGCCACTGTCTGCCAACTCACTTGTCTCCATCCTCAGTCATCTTTTAAAAATACGTAGTGACGCTCTAGCTGTCTGGTTCTTCACGGGGAATGTGAAGTCTGACATCATTCCTATTGCCATGAAATCTGAAACTCAGCGTCATTCTCACTGAAAGTTGCCTTGGAGTTTGACAAACCCTTTCCCCAGTGATACTGAAAGGTTGTTTTGTTTTTGTTTTGTTTTTTTGAGATGGTGTCTCACTCTGTCACCCAGCTGGAGCTGGAGTGCAGTAGCACGATCTTGGCCTACTGCAACCTCCACCTCCCAGGTTCAGGGGATTCTCCTGCCTCATCCTCCCGAGTAGCGGGGATTACAGGCACCCACCACCATGCCTGGCTAATTTTTGTGTTTTTAGAAGAGACGGTTTCATCATGTTGGTAAGGCTGGTCTTGAACTCCTGACCTCAGGTGATCCACCTGCCTTGGTCTCCCAAATTGCTGGGATTACAGGTGTGAGCCACCACACCTGGTCAGATGCAAGTTATTTTGAGCTAAACAGAAGAGCTACCAACATCCGTATAAAGTAACTATAAGAACAAAATTAAAAAAGTTTCAACTAATGAAAATTCTTCCCACCAACCACAATTCCATCCAACAGCCAAAAAGCAGAGGAAAACTAACATAATACTTTTCATATGAAGTAAATATCATTTAGTAAGCAGCTGCAGCTATAAAGAATACCAAAAATCAGACATTAAAAAACTCAAAATAGAAGTGGACAGAAAGCTATAAAATGAGAACTGACTAAATTCAGGAAAGAAGTAGAAGAAAAAGCCAAAATAATCTTGAGATATGGAAACTAAATTACATTGTGTCCACGGGAAAATAGGTTAGCCTAAAAATTCAAGAAAGAACATTCATAAATTTAAAACAGCCAAGAGAACTCAAAACAAATTTGAAAAAGAAGGAAAAATATCAGAAAAAAAGAGAAGATAGACAGAAGTTAACATATGCATCACTGAAGTCTCCAAAGAAGAGAAACATGACAGTGAAACAAAGCTATAACTGGAGATAGTTTTCTGGATATAAAATAAAACATGAATTTTTGGGACCAAAGGTACCTGGAGAAAAACTGACTCAGTATCATTAGCCTCAGTGAAATGCAAATCAAAACCACAATTATAGCCACTAGGATGGCTATAAAAAATGTAACAACGTGTTGATGAGGATGTGGAGAAATTGGAACTCATACTTGGCTGGTAAGACTGTCAAATGGAGGCTGGGCACAGTGGCTCATACCTGTAATTCCAACTCTGCCAGGCTAACGTGGTAGGATCGCTAGGGCCCAGTAGGTCAAGGTTGCAGTGAGCTGTGATCGTACCACTGCACTCCAGCCTGAGCAACAGGGCGAGACCTTGTCTCAAAAGAAAGGAAAAAAAAAAAAGTATGTCAAATAATACAGCCACTTTGGAAAGCAGTCTGGAAGTTTCTCAAAAATTAAACATAAAGTTACCATATGACCCAGCAGTTCCACTCCTATGTACATATCCAAGATAAATTAAAACATATGTTCATACAAAAACTTGTACATGATTGGTTATTGCAGCATTATTC